AGTTTAGGCTGCGATTCGGAGGGTTAAGTTTAGGCATAGAAGCCGAGGGTTAAGTTTAGAGTTAGGGTATTGAGAGGATTAGACTTCAAACTTTCAGAGTCAAACCCAGATGATGTGAGAGAGTGGTTATTAATCTGTTATTAAACGTCTATTTTTGACACACTGAGGAAGTGGTCTCTATGTATTGCTGGGTTTCGCCCCATGTGTTTGAATCTTATGGAGACTGTTTGTCGTTATTAATGTCCCCCCCCCCAAAATGCATTGTTCCCCTCATTAGCATATTTCCCGGAATTAATTGATTTAATTTAATCTACATATTTCCCAAAATGCATGGATTCCCCTAATCTACATATTTAAGACAGTTACCCACCCAAAACCCCTGTTTTTCCGAGAGATCCCGCTAATTTTCGCTGGTTGTTGCGGTTGATAGTGGATTGGATGTCTATTCTTTTCAAGAGTTGTTCACAACTATTTAACCTCCACAACACACCACCAGCGCGTGTTTTTTTAAAATGTCGTTTCACCTTAGGGAGACTGTTTTAAATTATGCAAATGAGGGAGATTTTCAGTTTCCACTTAGGGAGACTGTTTTTTTTGGTGTTTTTTCACTAAAATGAACTGTTTTGACTGGGAGTCTTCACCGATTTTGATGCAACCCTAACCCTAACCCCTTACCCTAACCCAGGAAAACCCTAAGCCCTAACCCCTAACCCTAACGGTCTGGGCATGCGCAATAATATATTGCACTTTTGCTTTGCTGCCGCCTTGTGGAGAAATACTGGTAGGACATCTGCTGTAATATTATACACACATTATGAATGCTACTCTGCTGCCGCCTTGTGGCGTAATCATAGTAGGGCATAGTAGGGCTATTTTCAAATTCACTTTATTAACGCTACTCTGCTGCCGCCTTGTGGCGGAATCCTGATATGACACCAATAAAACATTTTTATAAACATATTGTTGCAGAGAGCTGCCTCCTTAAGGATGAATCCTGGTATGACTCCCAAAGTATTTCTATACACATAATACTGTTGACTCTCTGCTGCCGCCTTGTGGATGAATCCTGGTATGACACCCAAAGTATTTCTACTTTAGTCAGTATATAGTATCCCATATACTGACTTTAGTGGGGCGCATTTGCTGATCTTTTTGGATTTGGCAGGGGAATCATTGGCAAGATGGAGAACGCTTAGACCACTTTTGGATGCCGCTGCAGATATCCTCTATAGATGGGGATATTCGTTTGACCTAATTGCCTGGAAAAATGGACACTCTATATCGTTATGTTTCCCAGAGAATGAGGACTCTTTCTGTGCAAAGCTTGAGATTACTGTACACGATCTCTCCGAGAAATGGAGATAGTCTGCTCCTGTTAGGAAGTGACGCATTGGGAAATACGTTTATAGATACTTTGGAGCAAATTAAAGGATGAGACTTTCCCCCTAGAACTGAAGAAATAATATGAAGGGTGTTTGTATCATTCCCCCTCTTTTTTTATTTTATTTTATTTTTTTTCCTTTGGTTTGTTTTTGGGTTTGTAGCTGCTATTATGATAGTACAATTGCTATATTTTGTTTAGTTTTTTTGTATTGGAATGTATATATGTAAAGGGAGCGAGGGAATACAAAGTGTAGTTGGGGGAATAATCTTGGAGGTAATCATGTGGGATAAGTGTGTCAGTATTTATTGAGAAATTGTGTTATTTAATAGGATGCCCTATTATAGAAACGAGAGCTCTGAGATATGAGAATTAGTTCCTGTAGGCATGCTTGTGCACTTTTAGCTTAAGGTTGGGAACCATGAATGGTCTCCTACATGCCCTCCTCTTTCCATGTAGACTCTTTGGTCCTATGAGGTCTCATGTCTTACCCTATACCTCAGTTGCATCTTTTACATTGTAGCTCTACTATGGCAGGCAGTCCTCCTTACCCCACATTATTCCGGCACTATTGTCTACCTTTACCACCTCCTCTTCCCTCCTTCTCTCTGTTTTTCTCTCCTCCTTACTCTGCTTTTCTTTCTTTTAGATTGCATTCAGGGATTCTCCTTACTGGGTCTGCTATACAATGGCCCCATTCACCTACTGTTTGCCTTATTGCACACGCTCTTTTTGTGCTGACTATGTTTCTTTGGTGGCCCAAAGGGGCTTATATGGTTGCTAATTGTTGATCCTGACTCTGTATATTTTGATCCTGTAACCTTACTGGATTTTGTGTTTCCATGCATCGTACTGTGTTGTATTTACTGTTCATTGTTAAGATGTCGATAAAAATCGAATTAACATAAAAAATAAAGGAGTTTATTGAAAGTGACAATAGACAAAATAGCATAACAATAGGTAAATTCAAGACATAGTCAGAACCGAGCCAGAGGTCAGAAGCCAAAGCGGGTAGTCAGACGATCCAGACCTGGAAATGCAGAGAACATGATAAACGAGTACAGGAACCAGGAAATCAGTAGACAGGGCCAGGATCTTACACGCAGCACATGAACAAGCAGAGAACACTTGGCAGGTCTGAACAAATGCAAGAGACGAAACTAAGTGGAAAAAAAGCCTGATGACTATATAGTGAACCAGAGTCACATCATTACTGTGAGACAGCAAGTTGCCAGAATGATGAAGTTTATGGATTTGGTCATAAGAAGGCACCTAGGGGAAACAGTCAGTGTCAAAAACACTGCACTGCAGCTTAGGTGGACAAGGAAGGGTAAGAAACCCTGACAGGTTGTGGCAGAGTCCAATGCACTTTAGCATCAGTCTGATTCTGTCAGTCACTGGCCACCAAAATTGACTCTCAGCGTTCATTCATAGTTTCACTGGAAAATTGAGAGCTGCTTAGTGGCAGGTGCAGCCATCTTTTCTGGTCCCTGAGAAGGGAATACTCAGAAATGACATAACCCATCAAAGGGTCTGTGTGCTGAGGGTGTGAAAGTGTTTCATGGTATTTCAGCAGACACTCCCACAGCACCATTTTTCCTAACGGTGTCAATATTTCCAGATGCTTATATTTTACAGTATGTCAAGCAACATTGTATTGTACAAAACAAAGTCACAATTAGATAGAGACTAAGCATGATATACCTCAGGTAGCCTTCCATGAAAAAAGAAGAACTCACAGTTTTCTCAGAAATAACTGGAAACTGGCCAAAGTAATTGGCATCCATCATTGTTTATTTCATATCAATCATTCAGAAATAATTAAACAATTAAAATGACATGGACACAAATGACTGGACCCATCAGCTAATATTTCAAGGTAATCACTGCAAGCAAATGAATTCTGTAGCTCTCATTGCAACTTCTAAACCTGCCAACAGGTAGTTTGGCCGAGTGTTCTTCATCTGTCTCAGATTTGAAGGGTGCCTACTCCTCACTGCATGTTTCAGCTCTTTACATAGATGTTCCATAGAATTCAGATCAGAGGTCATAGAAGCCACTTCAGAATAGTACAATGGGGTTCCTTTTTAGCCTTTCTTGGATGCATTGGGTTTTGTGTGTTGGGTCATTATCGTGTTAGAGGACCCATGACCTGCCACTAGGACAAAGCTTTCTAACACTGTATGGTTCACTCCAATTTTCTAGGGTAGTATATAGATTTTATTGTGTGCTGCATGGACTGAAGGCACTTTGTGCCAGGCACAGCCAAGCTTCCACCCCAACATAATCAATGGGTTGTTGTTTTGTTTGTCCACCTCCCCATTGAAGTGGCCAGCCTCCATAGTAGTGCCCAGTTCTCAATGGCAGTGCCCAGCTCTCCATGGTAGTGTCTGACTCCGCACTGCAGTGAACAGCTTCTCCATGGCAGTGCCCAGTATCCCAATACAAGTGCTCAGTTCCCCATAGCAGTGCCCAACTCTTTATGGCAGTGCCTAGTTCCCCATGGCAGAGCCAAGTTTCCCCTGTAAGTGCTCAGTTCCCCATGGCAGTGCTCAGTTCCCCATGGCAGTGCCCCACTCCCCATAGCAGTGCACAATTCCCCATGGTAGTGCCCACCTCCCCCTGGCAGTACTCAATTACCTATATCAGTACCCAGCTTCCTGGGGCAGTGCCCAGCTCCCCATGGCAGTTTCCTGCTCCCGTTGCCCCTTTTTTGGCAATTGGGTTAGGGTTGTCTTAACCCTAACCCTATTTGCATTAAAAATGAAGATTCGTCCCTCAAAGACTTTAATGGGGTTTTTGCTGCTAAGCTTTGATTTTCATGTCAACTAGAATGTCAAGCCGGATTCAATGAGTGCCCCCGTGTATTTGAACCCGGGCTGATTCGCTTATCCCTATTGGGCAGATGTATATATGGTTTGTTGATTATATTGATGAATGTTGACATTTTAACTGATGTTTACCTGATACACTTGGAATGTCATATCTGGGTGAGGCTGCTAATCCATGCAGAAAAATTTATTTATTTTGTGTTTTCCTTGCATTCCACCACAATACATTACTAGGTTTGATGTTAACATTAAATCTCCCCTTCGATTTGGATTATGTATTATATTGACTCCTGGTGACGGAACTTCCAGGTATAGGTCCAAAGCACCACGCCTGCTCTCAATAAACAAACAAACAAACATATATGGCATTTCACTTTACATTACACTAAGGTTGGAGTATATCCATGACAGGTCTGCAACAAATCCAAGAAGCCAACAGTGTCAAAAATGGTGCATTTATTGGAGGTATAAGATGTGTGTAGATATAAGATGTGTGTGGAAGAGTGATTATACAGAGACTCATCAATTAGGCTTTGTGAATGTAGACTTCAGGGCATATTAATAGAGCAGCAAATGATCTACGTACGCTACACTATTATAAAAACATGAACCCATCCTTGATTTGCTTGCAAATTCACCCAATTGAGCAACAATTACCAACATTCACCTATATCTGTATTTTGCTGTTTTGATCATTGTCTGTGATGGAATGCCATTGCCAGATGTGATTCCATTGGAACATTGCAATGCCCCATTGAGCTTCATACTTGTCATTCTGTTCATGGATGGGACCTTCTTTCTATAAATATGCCCCTTCATCTAGAAACGGGTGAGGTAAGGAAAGGCAGCAAGCATGGAAATATTCATGCTAGGCATGGAACTGGAGCAACGTTTGACTAAGCCTTGAGGAGCACATTGTACATGTGAGAAAAGGCCCTGCTCCCATCCATCACCTACATGACTGCAGCATATTCCAAACAGTCCACAAGTGTGCCAAGACTTTTCCAGGCTCCATGGACTCCCTAGCCATACAGACGGGCAAAGCATGCTTGGCAGTATGGTTTGCCATCTTGCTCTCGGAAAGTGCCTTTATTGAGTTGCCGCAAGCAAAATGTGCAGCTCAGGTGCTGAGGGTGGAACTTTCTTCCCATTGCGGTCACACATCGGCCTGTGATTGGCTGATCACATCCGGCACACAATGATCCACGAGACGAGTGGTAATGAGTCTCACACAGAGGTAGGCCATCATTCTCAAAGAAACTTCCACTGAGGAATGGGGTGCGACAAACCTAAAGAAAACCAGAAATGACATCATAAATGCTGGATTTTCCACTAGAAGAAGCAATGCTGTACATAACTCTAGTTCATAAAAACCACTTCCACCCAAAATTCTAATTCCTTGTAGTAGTTTTAGCTAAGATATGTTTGTACAACTAGAGGCATATCTACATTTCCTTGCTTCAGTAGACTTCAACCAGGCTTTGTGACCAGTCCTCCTAAGACTCTTCTGCACTCTGGCCAGTGGTCTCGCTGCAGTCTTGTATGTACATGATGCCCACGAAGACCCTCAACTTGGAGTATTGAAGTGAAGAGCACCAGAAGCCTGCTGGAGTGCGAAATGTGGTATTGCAGCTTATTCCACTACAACTGGGGGGTGTTGGAAATGTAACAGCATATTCTAATGTACTGATATACTTATGTAATTTGGCTTTTGAGCTGTAGATGGCGCTGTGGTGCAATGTTAGTCTGTATGTGCATGCTTATCTATGATATACAGGAAGTTCATTCTCTATATGTTTTCTTCACAATTCCATATACTTACATGTAATGTTCATCTAAGCAAGTAAAACGTAATTCAACATTCCTCAAGATCTCAGAGCTTCATCTACAAGCATAACCAACAGGTTATGGGCTCAGGCACTAAACAGAACACTGGTACTCAACAAGAGCCGCAGTCAAGCTACTGAAAGATGGCGAGCTGTTCAGATGTGAAGTCTGCAATTGCAAAGCTCAACAATAACAACTACCACCTAGGGAAGTTCTAGCTTAAAATGCTGCTAAGCAAAGACGACTTGTGCCAAGTAATGAGTACAGACAGACCCAGTAATGGACCCGCGGAGGAATGGGACAAGAAAAACAGGCAAGCAAAAGCAATTATAAGTCTGCTAGTGGAAGACGACCCGCTCATCCACATCAGAAAAGAGAATACAGCTAAACGTATGTGGACCGCATTACAAAAATTGCATGAGCATTCAAACCTAAACAGAAAACTGTATCTGCTACACAAGCTATATAAGATGAGGCTAGAAAAAGGCCAGGAAATGCGTGAACATGTGAATGTCCTGCTGGAAATCATAGAATATGTGAATGTCCTGCTGGAAATCATAGAACATGTGAATGTCCTGCTGGAAATCATGGAACATGTGAATGTCCTGCTGGAAATCATAGAACATGTGAGTATCATGCTGGAAATCATAGAACATGTGAATGTGCTGCTGGAAATCATAGAACATGTAAGTGTCACGCTGGAAATCATAGAACATGTGAGTGTCATGCTGGAAATCATAGAACAGATATGTGCACTTAGAGAGGAAATGAAAGATAACCACGTGGTGGCATTACTGCTATGCAGCCTTCCAGAGTCATACATCGCTCTAGAAACCAGAACCAAGCAGGAACTAACACTAGAATACGCCACAGGGAAATGAATCGATGAATGTGACAGAAGGAAAGAAAATTTGCACAACGAGAAAAAAAAAAGAGAAAAAATACGAGAAAGCCCTCAAGGTGCATGAGAGCGCAAAGCAGAACAAAGAAAGCAGAGCATGTTTTCACTGTAAGAAGAGCGGTCACCTGACAAAGGAATGTTCAATCTGGAAAGCCGAGCAGAGGAAGCGAGAGACACCTACAAGAGAAAGAGCTCCACACAGGAGACTGCAGACACATCAAGGAGCGCTACCTTTAAAGTGACTCAGAACAGTATACCACATGGATGGTGTATTGACTCAAGTAATACAATGTCTTGTTGCACACCTTACCGGAGGTAATGACTTGTAGAACACAGGTGGGTGGTCGTAGCAAAAGTCCATTTATTGACAGAAGAATGCCAGTCAAATGTAAGCGCTTTCGGGGCCGCACAGGGTCCCCTTCATCAGGCTCAGAATGGCAACACACAAATGTACAACACCCTTAAATAGACATACATAATCATGTGAAAAGAAAAGGAACTTCCTACCCCCTCTCAGCATCCGATCACAATGTTCTGCCACCAATAAGAATTTCAAAAACGTACAGAATGCTGCCGTATGGAGAAAAAGGCGTGCAGCGCTGTCACGGTCGGTATGCGGTGACAACACAAGTCAGTTGCTATGGGAACTGGACACTCAGCAATCAGGACTCTCTGCCGTCTCCGCCCCATCCACCAGCACATGCACCGTGTGGAACAAAGGACCGTGGTCGTCACGCATAGCAAGCTCTAGCGGTTAGGATGAAATTGCAACGCCATTGGTCATTAGCCTCAGCATTGTACAATATTGGGGTTATCCCTAACTTAGCTCCACCACTGTCCTAAAATCATTAGTCTGTATTGTTATGGAAAAACTGCCACATGACACAAAAAAAAGTGATTGGTATCGGCGAGTAATGGAGGGAAAGTATCAGTGCTCGTACTCGGTCTGGAATAAATGGTAGTGCGTCCCTATTTTCATTATGGGTGTGAGTGGTGGGCCTCACATTTGAGTTTCGCCTAAGCCTCACAAATTCTAGAGCCGCCTCTGTAGAAAGCAAATGGACCCTAAAGGTGAAGCTTGAAGAGATACCAAGGGATACTCCCAGATATTAGGAGAAGACTAGGATTAAACATTGGCTCCCGTCGTAAAACACTCCACCATCAGAACACTCCTCAGCATCGCAGCCGGGAAGAACATGCAAGTGAGACACCGAGACATAAAAACCGCTTTCCTATATGGAGACATTAACTAAGATCTCTACATGGAGCAACCACCGGGGTCTGAGCAAGGACACCACCTCGTATGTAAACTCCGCAAGAGCATCTACGGACTCCAGCAATCTGCAAGAATGTGGAATGAGACATTGAATGAAATACTCAGGAAAGAGGGATGCACAAGAAGCAAAGCAGATCCCGCTCTTTATTCCGGGATTGAAGAAGACAGATGGACCGAAACCTTGAAATGAAAGGGCTCGGAAACATCCGACACCATCTGGGAATTCAGATAGAGAGAAAAGAAGATGGAAGATATCTCCTCAACCAAAGTCAGAAAATTGCAGAAACTTTGAAACAATTCCACAAGGAAGATGCAAAGGAAGTAACGACACCTCTGGAACCCGGCTACCAAAAGAGAAATGATGCAGAAAACTTGCCATCCAACAATGACAAGTACCGCAGAGCAATCAGAAAACAGACAAGTCGCAGCACCCTGTCAGCGTGACTGGAACACAGGAAAGAGTGTAATGCAATACTTAAAAAGAACTATTCGGGTGAAGCTACAACTGCCAGCAACGTCAAAGCTATTTGGATATGTGGATGCTGATTGGGCCGGAGACTGCACAGACCGCAAATCCACAAGCAGTTACATCTTCCAATACGGAGAAGGAACCATAAGCTGGTCAGGCCGAAAGGAAACACCTGTTGCACTTTCCTCAACTGAAGCTGAATACATAGCAGCAGCACACGCGTGTCAAGAAGCAATATAGATTCCCCAGCTTTTAATGGACCAGCTTTTAGTGGATCCAGAGTCTAGTCTCGGGGGGGGGGCACTGCCAGAAAATAAGCCCCCCCATCTGGCTCTTATTACTATATAAAGAAAAAAGTACCGTAAATGTTCTGTTATAAAACATCTATTTCTACCCATATTTTTGGTAAAATATAAAAGTCGGGATCACGTCGGGTAAATAGACGCCAAACGTCAAGCCTTAAAATTGCGCGCACATGCAAAATCGCAAAAAACGGCCACAGGCCCATAGGCGGCGATTAAAACGCTTTTAGTGCTCATCAGTTTAGTGTTATTGATGATTAATGGCCCTAAAATGATTGCTCACACTCCGATGTTTGCGGCATTATGTAACATGTGCGGCACAATAGGTGCAATCATCGTTTTCGCACATAGGCGCACCCGACGCATATCTGCGTGTGTATGTGGGGGTGGGGACTTAAAAAAATTGTTTTATTTTATAATTTTTTTATGCTTTATTTTTTTGTAATGATTCTTTAATTTTTTTCCACACAACTTTATTGCTATTACATGGGAGGGGCTAAAAAGCCCCCTATGTGATAGCCAATTTACATGACAGGTCCTCTTTATGGAGACATCAGGGGTCTCCAAGACCCCTAATGTCATCTAATTTTTTTTTACACACAACTTTATTGCTATTACGTGGGGGGCTAAAAAGCCCCCTACGTGATAGCCAATTTACATGACAGGTCCTCTTTATGGAGACATCAGGGGTCTCCAAGACCCCTAATGTCACCTAGGAACCCCCAGAGAAGCTGATGAAGCAGAGATCGGCTTCATCAGCTTCTGTAGCTGGAGAGTGACACAGAATGCAGGAAGTGATGTCATATACATCACTTCCTGCATTCGGGGACTGAGAGGAGATCAAAGGGAGACCGTATACTGATCTCCCTTTGATCTTCTGTCACAGAGCCGTGCCGGCAGTGATAGGGGCGGCTAATACAAGCGATCGGGCGTCTCTAGAGATGCAAGATAGCTTGAATGTAAAGCTCCCGGCCGGCCGGACAGAGATGTGTTTTATGTCTTAACGAGCCAGTGAACTTGTTACTTTAATGGAGACATCAAAGAGTCAGGACAGAGGATAGTGTCATATGAAGGCCACTTCTGTGCCCATAGTCAGCTCTTATACAACCCCCTCTCCTGCCACCGCACTATTTGGGAGATTATCTATCTACTACAAATAGTCAGCTCGGGCACACAATGGATATCTGAAATCTCAAGTCTGTGTGCCCAGCCATAGGCATTATGTAATCCCATTCCATTCTACAGACAGACTGACGCAGCCCAACCACAATGGTCATGCATCTACTGGCTTCTAGTTCCAGACTCCCCATCCCATGCACTTTCTGGAATATTCCACCAGACATTCTGCTATCATTGTAGGAGGATAGTAATAGATTGTGAGCTTTCAGGATTGGCTACTCACATGACACACAAAACACTGCGGATGCCATAATCCATTAAGCGCCGTGATGTAACTTTCCTTCACTGGTTCAGCACATCCGGCACAAACTGCTCCAAACAGGCGAAAATAATCATCTGAACAGTAAGGTTCTCCTTCTTTCTCATGGAACCCTGTGGGGGAAAAAAGGGTCATTTACTAGAGATATTCGATTATGTAGAAGAACTA